TATGGCTAGATCCACCACAAATTCAACTAAAAAACAATATATATAATTTAACAATCCCATTTACAAATCAAATATTTCAATATTCATCATTAAATTCATTATTTTCTCCATCTCGTTTATGGTCTGATCCAGTTTCATCTATCTATAAAAATTATATTGATGAAGTAATCTCTAAACATATAAAGGAAGGATATAATTTTGGTGCATTGTTAATTGAACCTATTTTGATGGGAGCAGGGGGAATGATATTGGTAGATCCATTATTTCAAAGATTGTTGGTCAAGGGTGTTAGAGAGTTTAATAGATGGGGCAATTTAAGAAAGGATCAGGAAAGAGAGAAATGTGAAGATGAAAAAGAATGGAAAGGATTACCAGTGATTTTTGATGAAGTATTTACAGGACTTTGGAGATTAGGAAAATTAAGTGGTGCAGATATTTTGGGAGTGGTGAGTATAAAAATTATATTAATCTATTTTCAAAAATTAACTTTAATCAATATTTCAAAATTTTTTATAAAGAATCCTGATATAGCTGCATATGCAAAACTCTTAACAGGTGGTTTGCTTCCATTAGCTACCACACTTTCAACCGAATCAATATTTAATAATTTTCTTGGGGATACAAAAGTTGATTCATTATTACATGGACATTCTTATACTGCACATCCAATTGGTTGTATGGTGGCTAATAAATCTATTGAAGAATATGAAGTGATGAAAAATAAAAATGAAAATTGGAAATCTGGAATGAAAAATTGGGGATTTGAAAATGAAAAAAATCATGAATATGGAATTTGGAGTATGTGGGACAAAGAAGTATGTTTATAAAATTACAACATAATTTTTTTTTTAATCATTAATTAATAACATTTATTATTAAATTAATTTTTATATTAAAGATGATTGGGAAGCTATCATGTTTACCAAATGTCAAAGGACTATTTGCTATAGGAACAATATTAGCTATTGAATTGAAAGATATTGATGGTGGTGGTAAGGTGTTAAAATTCATTAAAAATTTATTTATTTATTTATTTTTTGGATAATTATAATGATATATGAAAATTATTACATATTTTAGGTTATGCTTCAGAGGTATCATTAGAAATCATAAAACAATTATCAAATTCAAATTACAGTAAGGATGATATCAAAATATTATCAAGGCCATTAGGAAATGTAATTTATTTGATTTCCTCTTTGATTAGTGAACCTTATAATATTAGGAGGTTAGAAAAGAAGGTTTATGAGTGTTTGATTAAAGCATAAAATTTAATATAATGTATACAATACAATAAATAATAATATGATTTGTTCTTTCCATTTAAATTATTTAAATTATTTATTTGAAAATAAACTTTATCAATTTTATGTTATAGTTCAAAAATAGATGAAGAGTAGTAGTAGTTTCTTTTTGAGAAATGGTATTGTTTGCCAGCAATATTTATCTAAAGAAAATAAAGTCTTTGAGATCTTTATATAAATTTTTTATATTAAAGATTGGAGAATTAACAATTTTAAAGAATCTTTTAGTTAAAAAGAACCCATGTCAATTTAAATTATCATTGAAATCATATTTGAAATAGATATAAATCAAAGTTCCAAGTGTATAGAACAACATATTCTAAATGTGAACCTTTAGAAAAAAGAAACTACCTGTTCTTATAATAGCATAGCACTATTAAATTCACTATAAAACAAAAAAATATTATTAATACTGCTTTCTTGGGATCTCTAATTTTATTATTTTAACCTCACATTAATTGTTGAGTCTTAGGTTTTGATAATGTATTAAAGTTTTTCCACATTCTATTTGATTATATATATAAAATTAAAAGCCGACGGGCGGGATTGAACCACCGACCTTCAGTTTACAAGACTGACGCTCTACCACTAAGCTACGCCGGCCCACAGAAATGATCTTTTTTTTAATTTTTATTAATTATTTACTAATTGTGATTATTCATTTCGGGACAACACATCAATATCGTAACGTGATTTATAAATTATATTTTTAATTAAAATATTAATTACAAATTTAAAAATGATTGTCGCGCAGCCAACTTTTATTATTTTTAACTTTCGGAAGTGATAATAATAACGATAAAATCTCAAAATAATATTTTTAAATTGGTATTTTCTTTTTCATATTTAATTAAGGCTATAATTTCCGTAATATGCGGCCTTAAATGCCTTAAATAGTTATAATGCCTAATGTCGTAAAAATTAAATTATGGTTTTCGACTTTTAATGCAAAAATCATGTACATATAATTGTAAGTTAATATTAAAATTAAATTTTTTTTTTTTATAATTTTTTTTATTAGTACTTTATTATAATTATTTTTTTTTGTTTTTACATAAATAAAATTTTAGAACTTTCCCCGCGAAATAACCTAATTTATACCCCCAAATACATATACAAATTAATTATAAAAAACATCGCAGAAAAATGTTTGATATATGAAAAATATTATAAAAAAAATGAAAAATATATATTTAAGAAATAATGAATTAATTTAATTTAAAGTGTGTATATATATATAAAAACTGTATATATATATATTCTCTAAAAAAAATATATACTTTGTTTAAAAAAAAAAAAAAAAAAAAAAACTTAAAATAAATAAATAAAATTACAAAATTAGTTATAATACTTGTTTATCGACATACAGCGGGTGTTAATGTAACTCTGATAACACCATCTTCATCAATTGAACTAGGTATTCCTAGTTTATCTTTCTCTTCTGGTCGATAATGAACTGATTCAGCTAGTGAAGTAGCTAATGAATTTAAAGATGCTCTTCCTATTGGATCAGTATCTGCTGAAAGTTTTTCGTCATTGTTACTTGAACTTATTTCATTAGACCCATTGTTTAATGTGGGATTGAATATGATCTTTTTCTTTTTATCCACATTTGAGTTTATTGGTAATATATTTGGAGATGTTAATGTAGTTGTTGTGCCGGCATTACCTGGCATTAAATTACTTATTGCGGCACTAATTATACCAGTTTTGGGTTTTTTTGTGCTTTGTTCCGTACTAGCGATTAATGCTTCAAATTTTTCCATCTTTCTTAATTTCTCTGGATTTGGTATACATTGTTCATTTTCATTTATACGTCGATTTTTATTCAATCGTGGCAATTGTGATTGTATCTTTTGGGTTCGAGATGGGCTCAAAGGTGGAGATTGTGGTGGTGGTGGACTTAATATTGGTGGCGTCGGTGCCGTTCGTGTAGGAACCAATGTTGGTGTTTGTGACATATATGTCGGTGATAAGGGTGATAAAGGTGGTATACCCGGTGAATTCGGGGAATTTGATGAATTTAATGGTTGTTTATTGAAAAATCCTCCAAGTAATCCATGTTTTTGCGTTCTTGAATTTTGAGCCAGCGAATATAATGATGTTTCATCATCTTTATTCATTAGACGTTCCGATTCCTCTAGAGATGAAGATGTTACCATTATAGAGGAATTTGGTACTAAAGAAGTAGGTGAAGAAAAAGTAGATTGTAATCGAATTGGATAAGGTGGTGGTTCATTGGAATTAACTGTCAAATCTGAATGATTCTCAGATTTTGAAGATCTTCTTTCTGGTGGTGATGAAAGTATTGATAATGTATTGGTTTTAGACTTGAGCGATGAAAAATGTTCTTGTTGAATTGTAGTTTCATTGTGTGATCTCCTCGGAGGTGGTTGAGGTCCGACCAGATTTTCCTTTTTACGGCTTTCTTCTTCTACCTTCTTTACCAATTCTCGGGAACTTATAATTCTTGTTGTCTCAAATCTTTTTATAGCTTTATCCGCACCAGATATTTCATCATTTGGATCATTATCGGAATTGTTATTACCCTCTTGTTCTTCAGAAAATTTTTCCTGTTTCTCCTTTCTCCTCCTTTCTCGTCTAGCTTCTCTATCTTCTAATTTAGCATTACTACTTTTCCTTGTTTTTCGTCTTATTGACGGTTTTGCAGAGGGTTGACTGTTTATTGTGTATATACCACCAAATGAAGTCATTATACTTTCTTCTAATAATTTACGTCTAAAATCTAAAGATGAACGTCTATTGATCACGATGGAAGTTCGTCTTCGTAAAGACTTATTTTTATTATTATTATTATTCAAAACGTTAATGGATAATAACCCAGAATTGCGCTTAGTATTTACGCTAGATAATATTCTTGATGCATGATTTATATTATTAGTAGGAATTATTCGAGAGACACGATTAGGATTTGTTGAAGCAGCACGTTGAGTACGTTGAGCACGATTGGGAAGAGGTATAAGAGAGGCATGAAGTAATTGCGGTGGTTTAGGAGGACCAGGTAACCATGGTAAACCATTTATTCTCTTTGGTATTGCATCAGAATCCATATCTGTAGGATCATTAGAATGTGCAGGATTTGAGGTAATAGAAAATTCCATATTTCGTGGTGGCAATTTTTTCCTTTGAACAATTGTGCCACGTTTAATAGGTCTATTAATAGAATTCCGATTTATAGATTGAGTTCTTACAAGAGACTTTTTAGCTATTAGTCTTGGATCAATAAATGACATTTCTCTTGGTACTAATACTTCTTGTTGTTTTCCCTTTGAAATTAAACCTTTTCTATTAGAATTTTTAACTTTTGATGAAGGACTTATTATTGAAGAATGATTTTTTTGTTTTTGAATAAAGTTAGGTTGTGACGTAGGTGGAGGGGAAGATCTAGATATTGGAGGTGAAGGATATTTACGTTCACTTTGCTCTTTTTGCTGTTCCTTTTGTACTTTTTCATGAGTTATATTTGAATGTGAATGAAGTGAATTTCCATTATTTTTACTTTGAATTGAATTATCTTTTTTAACATGTTTTATCGTAAAAGATGAATCAATTTCGGAATTATTTTTAGTTGGACTATGAAGAATTTCTACCACTTTAACGGTTGTTACGGTGATTCCACCATAAGGAGATTGAGGTGGAGTATTAATAAGGTGATCAATTTGTTCATTGGAAGTATTAATTGTGATTGATTTAGATTTTTCGGATGAAATATTCTGTTGTAATGGTTGCTGTTGTTGATGTTGTTGATGTTGTTGTTGATGTTGTTGATGTTGTTGTTGATTTTGTTGAAGTGATGAACGCGGAGTATGTTGTGTATGTTGTGGTGTGGATGGCTGTGAGGAAGATATTTGTTTAATATGTGGTGAATCATCTGATTTATCATTAATTTGAGAAATATCATTAAAGTTTGCAATTTTATCATCATCAGTACTAATATTTCCAGAGGAAGATGAAGAAGAATTCCAATTTAATTCATAAGTTTCATAAGTTGCATATCTCTTTGCAGGACTCTTTTTACGAACACTTGTATCATTTATATGTGAATGAGAAACTGGAATATGATCATGATAAAATGAAGAATGATGAGATTGATGAGATTGATGAGATGAATAATCTGTAGATATATGAGGTATATGAGATATATGAGATATGTGTTGATGGTTTATTTCCTCAGGTAGTGCCATTTTTTGCGTATCGTTTTGGTTTTGACCAAAAACAGAATTCCACAATTTTTTGACGTTTGAGTGTGGATGTATGACCACACTACCAAAAGAGTGTAATACTTGATGGAGCCGCACAGCGACTATTGTTTAAGAAACAGCAGTTGGAGCTGTTAACGTAACCTATTAATTATATTTAACTGACTATTAAAAAGTACAGTTTAAGGAGGGAAGGGGAAAATGAAGTAAGTTTTTTGTAAGATATTGATTAAGGATAAGAAGGATGATATAAAACATTAAAGTAGTTAATATATTCCCAAAGAGAGAATGATCTCGAAAGAAATAGTAAACGAGTGAAGAAAATAAACAATGCAAAAGAATTATAATAATAATTTATTGTTTCAAAGAAAATGCGTATTTTATTATTATTATTTTTTTTTTTTTTGAAAAAAAAATATATTTGAAACACTAGATTGTTTAAAACAGTTAGACTGGTAGAATAAATTAAATAAAACAGTTAAAGCTGAAGGAAAAAAAAGGTAAAATGAACACTTTTATGAAATATTATTGGTAAAAATAAAAAATCAAAATCAAGGAAATTTAAAATTTGCAGAAGTCAAGCGAATAGGAACCAGTTAAGATATTTTATCGACATCATGAAAATAATTACCTTTAAGCCCCAAGTGTAGAATTGTTGAAAAGGCGTAAAATTCATGAGAATTTCTCATAACCAATTTATTTTCTCAAGGTGATACGAAAAATGAAATCTAATAACGTATAAA